CCAGCCAAAGTGACGACAGCAACTACCAAGAAAACGAATTAGGAGCGTTGAATTTGATCTGTTTTTTTTTATTTTAATGCTCTTTTAATATTCTGTTATTATCAGAGTTTAGATGCAGGGGGTTTATTGATGATGTTATCTGTTGCTTGTTTCGAAATGGTCAATGAAATCTCGGGTTAACTAGTGTTATAACCTCTGCGTGTGTTTTTTCTTTATATCGGTATAAGTTTACTAAATATTTGATTAAGAATTATTTGGTTAGCAGAAGTTCCTCGCTAACTACTTGGTATTTTGCCAAACTTTTTGTTTTTGTTCTGGAGGTTCTTATTGGATGTATCAGGGTTGGCCATAGTCTACCTATAACTAGCTGGAAGGATAGCCATTAGTCTACCGACACAAATTTATTCTAGGGTTCAAGCTATGCTGCAGAACAATTATGAAAAGCCCCTTAACCCTTGAAAAAGGAAAGTTTTGTTTTGCTAGTTGGAAAATACTGACAAAGTAAATAACGAGGAAAGCCTCACCATGCAAAACAGTACCTGAAAGTGTGCACATCTGTGCCAAGTATTGGAATATGCTGTCTGTAGCGATAGTTCACATGTTAGTATTGTTGACTGTCCCGCAGACAAAAACTACGAATATCCAAAGAGGAAAGTGGTGAAAACCATTGGTTTTGGTTGGTTGGCCATGTCGACCCACTGACATGCGTCAGCATGGTCGACAAGCCCAAATGCTTAGAAATTTACCAGAAGTAGGTGTAGTATATAGAACGAAGGCAAGATAGGGGTGATCGCAGATCTTGACCCTCTTTATCGTACTCCTTGCAAAACTCTTCTGATACTTCTTCTAGCAAATTTCTTGTCTTTTTCTCGCACAGGGCGACAATGCTGCTCATATTATATGCGCATACGGAATACCTTAAAAATTGGGAATGGTCAAAATCATAACATTTATTGCAAAACTTAAGTGGTACTACTTCCAGCAAATCTCTAGTTGTATGTCAGAGGACTTCTAGGAAGAGCTTCATGCATGGGTCACCTCGTTTGAACGCAGTTCTCCTTGTTCGGAGGTGGGTAACGAGTGTGCACAGCTGTTCGTTCAGGCCCTCTTGCGGAAGTTGGCACTTCCAGAAAAATCACACGAATCCACCCAGTCGCATAATTTGAGATAAAAGACGTAGTCGTGAAGAAATGATTGCTAGAAACAAATTTGTTCTGGCGGTTGTTGTTATATTTATGGTGGAGTAGGAGGACAAGGCAAATGGAGTACATGCAAAAATCTAAAGTTTATCAGTTTGCTAAACATGATATCATTTTAAAGGGCGATCGCAGCAAATTTTCTCGGGAGGGACTTTATAATCCATTAAAGCTACGCCTTTGGCTGTTAATCTTGAAACAAACTTTGTTGCCTTTTCGGATTTAAGATGATCTTAATATTAATTAATAGTGGCTCAAATTCTTACCAGAATTCAAGCTGCAATTAATCCAGCTTACCCTTTATAATAGCAATCTAGCGCTTCCTATACCACTGTCCCAGAGTAATCCTCCGTTTGGCTTCCTATAGCTGTTCCAATTAATATTTCAAACTTTGATTTTATGAATCAAATTGCAACTACATATACAGAGTGCGTGAAGGCTATTTGCCGCTTTATTTTTTTATGGAAACCTGCTATTTTTAAAAAACTTTCTTTTTTTTTGCATTATAATTGATGAAGTATAAGCGTAAATATAGTTTCAAAATTAGAAAAACTGAATGTACTAATACGAAAGAAGAAATTGGTAATCTTTTAAGAACCTATAGATACAACAAAAAAAGAAATAGCGACACAATTGATTTGCCTGCTTATTTTGCTCAAGCATGAAAATGGTGTTTTGGATAGTTTATTGAGACAGTAGTTTGCCTGGATACACAAAGAACGTAGACTATTTGATTGTCCACGCTCGGCTGTTGTTAAATCTTGGCATTGGCAATACTTCAGTTAGATTATTAAAGCGGTAGGCCAAGATTGGTACAGATATTTATTGGCTGACGTTAACGTTTCGGCGGTTTCGACTTCGTCGGAGCCTGGAAAGCCGAAGTCATAAGTAATACGTCCTCTCAGACGTCAACAACAAGACTTAGGATATAATTCGTAAGGAAGACCAGTCAAAACATCACTAAAACTTTGAGTGACCAGATACTGACTTTAGAAGATAGAGGTGTTCGTGGACAGAACACCCATACCAGTACTGTACCTCAGCTCTTTTTTATATGTGCCCTCATGACCTGACCTCAAATCCGCAGAGGGATTGATAAGGCGCTAACTCGTTGGTGATATCAA